GACCTGTAGGAAATAAGCAAACAGACTTTTATCCTGGGAGTTGTGCTTTCCTTGCCTCCCCCAAAATTCCATGTTTGGAAAATCATGAAGCACTGTTTAAACTAGAATGATTTCCAGCACACCTTCTCAGTACTGCTGTTTTAAAGGTGGTTTAAAAAGTATGGGAGATAAGTTTGCCAAAAGAATCAGGTTCAACTAAGAAAATATGTACACTGCTTTGACTCAGTAAACTCATACTTGGTATGGTTCATCTTCTTCATATTTACTTTTGCCCATATTAGAAAACAATTAGCTTACTAAACAAATTTGAGTATTTGGGATAAAAAAATCTACTTTGAGTCTCTCTCATTTGACTAAGAATTACATGATATTTGATAAGCTTGTTTAAAAATGGACATATCCAAATATTATTGTAAACACCCATTGATTTGTTTTACCTGCAATATAAGTATTTTACTTAGTTGGCTTACATAGTAGCTAATAATATTTGTTAATGTAATTTAACTGCTGTGAACCTTTACTGAACAAATATTGAAATTTATACAAGTCAAAGAAAGAGAATCTCTAATGACTTTTGTAAAAGCTTCCATTTAATAGTTAAGGAGAAAAGTTTATATGACATACCAGATGCAATTAACAGTAGATTTTACATTTAATAAAAAGAAAGAAGCATATGTATTTGCTTTATTCATTCCATCATAATTTGCATTAGAGCTGTGGGTGTTTAATGAGCAAATTCCAGCTAAAATGCTATATTGATTTTCTAAGTGAACTTTGTAATAGCTATCTACCTTACAAAAGCTCTCTGTTTACAATTGTTTTCTTTACTAAAAACTAAAAATGTTTTAGAATTGATGAGTTTAGCATAATGATTCTTTTAAAATAAAGAGCTCTTTTAGAGTATGCAAGGATTTTAGTTACAAGGAGAAAGATGTTATTAAATTATTCCCAAAAAATAAAGCTTATACAACTAAATAGTAGTGCTGTACTTCTATATACTACAATATTTGCAAGCATGGGAAAATAATCCTTTTTTTAAATTCAGTTCTCTGAGATTTAAATATTTTAACTCTTGAATGCCATCAGATATGTATGAATTAGCAAATGACACAATTCATTTCATTTAATACTAGACTACTCATACTTCATTTCTGTGTGTCATTTTCTTACTTGAAATATAATTTCTGTACAAATTTGTGATTCTTCTTGGTCAGGCCTCAAGATGGAGAGGATAGGGGTGGTTGGTATGCCACTAGAAGTTCTCCAAGGAAAACCTTGTAATGGCAACCAGAGCAGCTAAAAAGTAGCTGGATCTGTTCTTTCTTTGGATCAGACACCAAGCCAGTGTGGCAGTATAGAGTTAGTATGTTGCTGGATATGTCATATCTTGAATGGAATTTAGAAGCATGACTTGGTGTTACTCTCAATGAGTTTTCACCTCACATTTTAAAGAAGCATAGGGATGATAATCTGGATAATTTTTACTCTTTCTAATATGAAGGAATTTCATGTCACTCTTTCATAGATTCTAACTGGACAGCTTATACATCACTCATTTTCCTAGGTATGGCACAAACTGTTTTGCTTTACTGCTGCATTGAGACCTAAATGTGTATAGGTGTCACTTATTTCAAGCATGCTGTGGTCCTTATGGTCCAGAACTTCTACTTGTGACCCATCCATAGCTCAGTGTGAATGGGGAATGTTTTACCTGCAATCATGTGACTCTCGTAAGATTCCCTAGAGAAGGAAAAAAGGAATACATAACATGTTAAATAGGAGTCAGAAATGTATAGCCATTGGGTAACAAAAACATCAAACCTAAATTCAGGTTTGGCTGGTGAAGAGATCATGTGACTTGGTCTTCTGTAGACGATTAAAATGGGTTATATGCGGTCTTTTTTTAAATAAGTTATTTCTTTCAAAAGTGTCAGTATTGCTATGTTGTATTAAAATGCCACGTATATAAGTATCTTTTTTTTTAAACTTAGATTACTGTGGAAACATCTTACATGATTTTCTACATTTTCCCTAATCTGTTTTAGTATTAAACAATTGACTTGCAATATTACTATTAAGAAACAGAACCAAAAGCCAGACGCTTGTAATTGATATAGAATGACTATATTTTTAATGCAGTTTTTGGATCTGGTCAGTGGAATATTTACACCAGTGCTTTACTTTAGTGGAAGAATGAGAAAACAACAATAATGAGTTGTTCAATTAAAGTTACTTTTCATAGCTGATGGTTAAAAGACAGTGTTTTGTAATAGACATTTGGGTGGGGGAAGGGTTCACTGTTCAAAGGCAATTAGCATCTGAGCTGCTGTCAGGGGTGGCAAGATTTCAGATAATCAGGATGCTTAAATAAATTGAAAAATACCTTTTTCTGAATGTTTTCATACTGTTGCATGTACAATACTTTGATTTAATGAAAAAGAAGCAAAAAATCTGGTTTTTAAAAGCCTGTATAGTCATTATTACCACTGGCCATATTTATGCAGAGAGTGGCTGAGATATGCTAAAAGACAGTCGCTCTATGTGTACATGTAGGTTCAAGATCCATTGCAGAAGTCAACAAATTGGGGGTTTCATGCTGAGTTGAGGATGTTCCAAGGTCTGACAGAAGGGGTGCACTTGAACAGGCCAGAAAGAAGTTAGCTAAACTGGAAAATAATTAACCTCAGAATAGTAATAAGTGCCAAATCTTCGGTTATTTTAGACAACTTTCAGTTCTTTGCAGCGGTTGTTTTCAAGGTGAAAATATTATAGTGTTTCCACTTGCAGCTTTATGGAGAGGGTTCTCTGTGAAATGTCTCTGTTATGATGCTAGATAAACTGACATAATTTACTGGAGAAGCCATAGCAAACAAATATATTTAGGTACTGATAGGTAATAATTACCATACAGAATAAAACTGCTGTGTATTCCAGATCCAGTCAGGACATAGCAGTTGCACTGTAGTTTACCCAGGCAGTCATTGCTCTGGCACTAGTTTCCCTGCCATCACAGATCTCAGCAGTCGAAGTGGGAGTCTGGTGAGCTGAAATGCACAGCCTAGGTTACCTGCTATGGTTTTTTCTTGTCTTGCTGAGCCACCTACCTTTGCAGATATCAGCTGCGTTCTCTGCAGGTGCTACAAACTTATTGCTGGATACCTGCCAGTGCAAATGCAGTGCTACAGCTGCCTTAGTCCTTAGCTTTTCCATTCCACCTCAAGCAAAGTTTTCTTGTTGCAAACAGGGGAAATAGATCTTCAAGGAAAAAAATACACTATTCTTCTGGATTAAAGAGAATTTAATCAGTTGTTGTTAGTTTTTGCATACATTTCAAAATCTGTGCTTCTGATGCTGGATTTCTTTTGCTGTTGTTGTTGGGACACAACTGTTATAGCTCTGACCTGATAACTAGGCTTGTGGCTCCTCTGCAGACTTTTTGTGAGGGGAGGGACTGCACTTTCACAAGTAACATTTAGCCTTTCCCTGTCTGATTTTGTGTAATGGGCTGTTAGCCTGCAACATTTTGCTAGGCCTGCAAAAAATGCTTTCTTACTCCTCTGACCATCTTCTCCCCAGCTTGAGGACAAGAAGATTCCTTTTTCTTGGTACTGATAAAATGCATTTTGTGCCAGTAATGTAGGTGCTACAAAAATGTGCTTCTGTGTTTCTATTATCTCATTCTGTAAACTTTCATAATGTTTCATTATGTATTCCACTATAAATTTTTTGTGCAATAGTGTATAGAGGTGAAGTAAGAGTAAAATAACAAAGAGTAAAATAACAAAAAAAAAAGAAGTTGATCTCAATTTAGGTAAGAATGGAGGGACAAAAGCTCTAGGCTTTTAGTAAGAGGGAGGAGGTAAAGAGGGAGGAAGCCTTTCTTTGAGATCATAATGACTTAAGCAGTGGTTGAGAGGGGAGCAGGTAGTTCTGTAGGGAGTAAGGAAGCCCAGCAGCAATGCCTTAATAAAGAAAGTTTTCGAGAAATAAACATCAAAATTTGAAAAACACTATAGTGTGATGTTAGGATACTATAGCTATACCCCAGTTTGACAGACTAGAAGGGACAAGGAGGATGGAGAATTCAGGAACCTATAGATCTCAATTGAGTTTTTTTGAGATTCCAATGAGAGAGAATATAGTCCTCTGTCTTGGAGTGACAGCAGTCTTACAGCATCCTGAAAGTCCCTAGACATTTTGAATGCATGGTTTTATGATGACTGTGAGGAGATTTGCAGTATTGCAGAGGGAAATGATGAAAGTATGAATAAAGATTTTAGTGGAGGCAGGGTCGAGGTAAGGATTCTGGCAGTGTGCCAGAGATGGTGTTAGACATATTGACAGGGGAGAGGCAGGGGGAAAATGTAAGCTCAGGATGAGGAATGACTTGAAGGTGTTAGTTTGCTCCTAAGGATAGACAGTAAATCTTAGTTTATTGGTACCTAATGCTCCAAGGTCCATGTATGCTGTAACAGATAATATAACAGTATATTACACAATAAAGTAAAGGCTTGGCAGAGGAGAGATGCCAGCTGTGCCACTCTTGTGATACCAGAGACAGACTATAAAAATATTAGAATTTTTAATATCACTGTGCCACCTTGATAGGAAGCAGTCTGATGGTAGTAGTTTTAATGTATGATTACTTTTAACTCTGTGTCCTAGAAGAAACTTGCTAGTGTCTTATATGATTCTGAGCTTTAAGAATTACTTTTCCATTAAGCAAGCATTCAGAATGCCCAGCAAATTACTTTCTTTCCCTGTTAGATTTTATAGGGGTGAATTTGAAAACACATAGCTTTATTTAATACCTTAAAGTATTGACTATAGCAATTAACAGCAAATTAGTGTTGTGTCTAAGAAGTAATATAGACCTTATGTGGAATAGTCCAAGGTCATAGGAGAAGTGTTGATTTTAGGAGGAGGTGGAAAAGGCCAACATAAGTGCATCTAATAGTGCTTTTCCCTGTCAAACTTGTTTGTTGAACACACTTTTGCAGCTCTGGTGGAAGAAGTTTATTCTGCTCAACGGGAACGTGATGAGGCTGTCATGGCAAGGCTTAGGTTAGCCAATGAAGAGAGAGATGAGGCATTTCTGCGAGTCCAGCGTTTAGAAGAGTCTCTCAAAGAGTAAGTATACATTTCCTGCACCTGTAAAAAGGCTGTTGTGTCACTCTGTGACAGTCATAAGCTGCTCAACAGTGGTTGTAGGAAAACTTAGCACATTATTATACGTGCAGTAAAATAGACCAGGGCTAGTGTTACTGTGTTATTGGTTAATTTGTTAGCTGTTTTATAAAGCCATATTTTTCCCTGGAGACTGAGAGAAGGTGAATAACTTTGATCACAAAAATTAAAAATATAATCAAAAGCTTCAGTATTGATTTATTGAGGGAGAAATAAGATGAATGTGACATTTTATAGGGATCTTTTGACACAGAGTACCAGAATGTCAGTCAAAAGTTGCAACATATAGGAAATCAATCAAGCCTTTAAGCCCACTAGACATTTCCTTCAGCCAAATTTCTACTAATTATGTGGGTGACACAGTAAAAATATATGGTTTCTTTCCCTATCTTTAGTGTAGGAGCAGTTTGTAAGGCAATAAAGGTACAATTAATAATTCATAGATTTTTATGTATGCCATCTTAACACAACAGAAATAGGCAATCTTATGTTAAATAGAGCTAAGTCAGGAGAAAATTATCAAGAGTTGTTTCTTTCTCCCTTGGGATATAGGCAGTTTTGAAGCTACAGTTTGCTTCTCCGCACAATCCTTGGCCATCTGATTTGTGATGATCTTGGTGATCATCTTTGTTAGTCCCACAAAGACTAGAGTGGCCGAGAAATTTCTCTTACTTTTCTACCAGGAGAAATACAAAGAAACAAGCTTTTCATGTCAGGAGACTGAATAGATGCAGTTGTTAGTTAACTAAATGGCAGGCAATGTTGTTTTAATTAATTGATTCTACTAAGATCTCTCCTCATTTGGACTGAAAACCAGTCATCTTCTTTTGGGTATTTTTATAGTTCAGGCCAGAGAATATTACCTAAATTAACATCAATAACCTGCCCATAGTTTGTCTACCATTACTCTGTAGAATTTAGAAGTTAATAGAGTAATCTTGTGTGTTCCAAGAGTAAAAAAAGTTTTGTATGGCTTGAAACATCACATGATCCTGTATATAAATACTTAGCATAAACTCAAGATCTTCGATCTTAAAGCACTCAAGTAATGCAGAAAATGAGTTATTCCAGTCAACAAACTTGGTCAATGACATGGGTTTCGAACATATTGCTTTTTTTTCTCTAGTGGAATCCAGACACATGAGTGGCAGTTCTTGACACACATGAATCCTTCAGAACACCTTCACTTGTTTTCCCTTCAAGCCCTTCTGTCTGCTTCACTCATGTTCTTGAAAACTGACTTAGTTCTAAGCAAAAGTATGAGAAAAGAGAAGAAACTCTATTTCTCAGAAAACATGCATAGTGCCTTCCTCAAAAGCGTATCATTGCATATCACTGGAAACACTGGTAATGCCAAAGTGGTACTTGTTCCCAGGAGAGTCAGTAACTCCCTTGACTGACAGTTTGAAGCCAAGCTATTACATTTTATTGCTATCATTTAGAGAACAGCAGTTGTACGAGCTGTCATCCACTTGGGTGTTCTTTCCCATGCTTTATAGAGAGGTCTGATACCCTGATGCCATTCACAGTCTCAGAACTGGTTTAAGAGATTTGCCTGTGGAGAACATCAGCTTTCTTTTTAACTACCACTCTTGATAGTTTCTTCCTTCCTTGTGGTGGTTGTTCAAAAGGTCAAGTTCCCTGTCTCAGATGTGGAGCACATAGAGGTTTGGAGTTTTTATAAAGAACGTTGGCTACTTGTGCCACACTCATCAAGTTTTAGAGCGCAAGTCACTCTTCCCATCTGCTTTGGACTTACTCCAATTAGAGAACTTTACAAGAGTGCAGTATTGAACAGCCTGCCAACCTTTATCAAATGCTTTAATTCTTTCTTTAAATTAGCAGCTGGAACAGTTCTATTGTCATTATTTAACTGTAACAAGTAAAATTCTTTCAGCCCTGTTGGCCCTAGGGGATATGTTATCAGAATGTGTTTAGAAGTGGGAGAGGAAGGAATCCTTGGTTACTGCTGTTTAAAATCATGATGTTTTCATTCATTGTCTATGCAGAGCACAGAGAGACAGAACAGGGCAAATACATAGCTCTGGTTGCTACTTTTTTTAAAATATTGTCACCTAAGGAGGTGTTTGTATACCTACAGACAGATTCCTTGTGGCAGTAATATGCTGAAGGTATGCTTATGGCAGAAGTTCATGTTCTTTTTTCCACTCCCATTTTTCCCTAAGGTACCTTGCTTACCCAGCCTGTTGGTTGGCTGGGTGATTTTGTTGACCCACACTTTTAGCAATGTAGAAGTCCTCTGGAGAAGCTGGGTCAGTCCTGCCAATTTACTTTGACAAATACTGTTCTTTTCATTGTGAATACAAACTAGCTGGAGATCCATTTTTAAGTCCCACATGAAGTGGTACTTAGAACAATGTAAAAACCTAAAGCAGGATCTTAAACAGAATCTTAAAACAGGACCTACAATAAGGATCCAGCTCTTCTAATTTAGTATGATCATAATTAATACTATTATGTTTGTTATTTTATGATTTGTATTACTTTATGAATACAAGTCAAACCCAGAAAAGTTAGCTTTTACTTTATTTTCTTTAGTTCTCGTCCTGACTGAATATGTTGGAGTAGTTACTGCTTGTGAATGCCATATAAATATAAAGCTGTTATACACTGATAGTATATTCTGAAATATTTCTTTTTAATTTAAACATTTCTATACTGGTTGATTTACCATGCTTTATGTACTGTTATCTGAAAAAAACTAATGGAAAATATGGTAGCGTGCTGTCAAGTGTTCTATAATGTGTTTTAGCTAAAATCATGGCTTTGGAGCAGTACCTGTCACAGCACTGCTGACGTGTTGCTGTGTAGAAGATGTTTAATAATACTATATCTGTCTTAAAATATCATAGGCTACTTTTAGTAGAAGTCACCATTAAGTAAGTAGCAGTAGAGCACTAAGGTAACTTAAATATGCTCGTTTTTCCAGAAGAGAGATCTCTGTCCATATAACTAACCTTAGGTAAAATAAAATGTGTACTACCCCATTTATTAGGTTTTTGTGCTATCACTTACTACTTTTACACAGCCAGTATTCAATGCTGTATGACTAAATTCCTCGTATCATCTTTGTATTTGACAGGTCAATATATGCTCTGTTGAAATAGAAAGGAAGGAAAGTGCAGGCAGGTTTGTTCCAGAATTAAATAAGGGCCTTGCAGAGAATTGGCTTAGCTTGCTATTTTATGCAAGATATAAAATCAAAATATTTTTAAAGTTACTTCAACTGTTTTTGGATTTTTTTCATCATTTTGTAAGAAAGAGGTGGAAAAATAATTACTTAAAAATGAAAAAAAACCCTATCAACAAAAGTCATGTTCTGTTTCATTTGGGGTGCAGTAAAAACAACAAAAAAAAACAGCATGTAAAAGTTGTAAGCCCAGAAATAAATAAAATAAAAGCATCAGTCATTTCTATCACTGGGGAACTTTTTTCATCTAAGCACATATGAACAATTGATCCTTGTAGTCATATATAGCAGTAAACATTAATAACTTAACAGTCTGAAGTCAGTGCTGAAGATATGGAGCATTATTGAAAGATGGAGTCGAGCAGGTGGCACTTTAATATGTTCAGTGTCATGGTTGACTCTAAAGACTAGTAGAATGAAATTACTTGAGGTTCTAAAGATTTAAAAAGCGAACTCATTTTGCTGCACTAAGGAAATGCTACTGATCAGGCTTTCTGTGTCCCTTTTTTCTAGGCTAGAAAATATTAACCCTGAAGAAAATGACATGGTAAGCCATTCTCTGAGGAGATTTCTTGATGTCAGTCTTATATCTTAGAGGCTTAAGTTCAATTGAGTGGGTTTCAAGAACTAAGATGTGGGAAAAAGAAGAATTGACACACTAATAATGTACATCTTTGCTGCAATATGAAAATTCAATAACTTCACTCAGTCAATTTACAATTCACATGTGCCTATTAATTAAAACCCTATATTAAATAAAATATATTAAAACTTCATGTCTGACTAACATATAATGCTGTTGGTAGACATTACAGGAATTACTGAACAGAATAAACAATGCAGACACTGGGATAGATATACTGAAGAATGGAGCTATAATTCTGAACCGAATACACAGGACCAAAGAACGTAAAAAGAAAATAATAGCTGAGGAAATGAATGCAGTAATAGAGCAACGGGATGCTGCTTTATCTCAAGTAAGTCTCTACAAGTATATAATCACTCAGTAGAAAATTTCTTTTTTTCTTCTTTTTTTTTCTTGGAGGGGAATAGGGGTTGGTTTACTTTTGGGGAAGAAAATTATTTTGTTAATTTTCTCTCTTGAAAATCTCAAAGGAGAGCCCTTGTAGTTGTCTAATTACTAATCAACTTTTAGTCTAATTACTAATCAACTTTTTTTTCATGGGAGTAGTGTCCATTAAAATGGCATCACTGTGTTTCATGAGAAAATGTATGTATGTATTTTTTGCACTTCATTATTATCTGTCTTCTTTCTAAAACAAAATAGTTTTCAGTGAGTTGACCTATCTAAAAAAGCTATTAAGGGCTTAGTTTTGCAGTATGCTGTGTTGGTGAAATACATTGGATGACAGGTAACTGGGATAGAAGGATTTATAAAGGGTTATAAGTAACAAAAATATACATTAAAGGAAGGTAACAGCACCACATGCAACAATGCAAGCAATTCTTCCCTTTGTTGCTTTACATGCAGGAGATAAAAATCAGCATGTGGTCCTTGACTCTCAAAGTCTTACCCATCTACTACGTGACTTGAAAGAATCTGGGTCCTTTTTTCTGCTGAGATCACTCATTACCTGCAATTTCCTATTTTGACAGAACAGTAATTGTCTTAATTCTCTTTACCATAAAGAGAATTTCCTTGTATTTCTCATCTCATGGAAGAGTTTTTCTGTCATTTCTTTGTTTGAGTTTAGGTTTTTTACCCACCATTTTTAAATGGAATTTTAACTCAATAAAATAAGTTGTGGGGAGGAACAGTCCAAGTAGGGAATATATCTCCTGAGAAAAGATCTTAGACGGGATGAAGCTCCTTATGCCAGGCAACAAATTTCATCTGACTTCCAATATTAAAAATTTTGATTTTTAATGTAAGTAACCAAAGCTGGCACACATGTAACTAATTTATACTAGATTTAAAGTCAGGTTTATGATCTTTAATGATATCAATAATGTTAATTGAATTTATGTTCTATTAAGAAGTCCTCTGATAAAAGTGCCCCCTCTACAAACACTGTAATTTTCATGCTTTTTTTCAGTTATTTTTTGCATTCTCTCCTACTTTAACCTTGAAAGCCCCATCTGCCTGGTGCTTAAAATATTTTGTGTGTCTGTCAAGAGTATGTATTGCAAAAAATCTTAATGTATTATTCGTGGTATTTTACTTTCTGAGTCTATTTTTTTCCTTTTATAATAATATTGCTGGAATGTTTCCCAGCACAGCTACTAGGAATCATCCAACAGCCCTTCCAAAAGTTTATGTTCTTTCTTCTTGCACAGGACATTTGAAAAGTGAGCATCTTGTAATGGGAAAGCTTTCAGAAGAAGGATCTCTTGATATTTTTGTTTTCATTATTTCATTTTTAATTCTTTGTTGAAGTGGACTTTCAGGTGTTTATGAACCATGAAACTTTTGTGAATGTCAGAAGTATTTCATTGTTGGGCATTTTAATACACAATTTTAATTGATTTTAAGCTGCCAGTTTAAGGAGTAATATTTTCCAAGTAATCAGCCTGAAAATTAATAAAAATAATAATTTTGGATAGTAATGGCTCAAATGTCACCACTAGCAAAGCCATCTTTAGCCATATCAGCAAAAAGCACAGGTAATGTTAAATAGATACTGCAGCTGAAAAAATGAATTCTTAGAATAATAAATCCTCACAAAATGAAGATGTAAATATTTGGTGTTAAGTTGTAGTACTATGATACCACAATCCATTTATAGCACCATTGTTTTAAATTAATTGTTATTAATAAAACTATTCATCATATGTTTTCAAATATGTGATGCTTTTACAGCTGTTACTGTTGAATCTGGAAAATAGGTCCTTGGAATTGAAGCTACCTTTTCAACCTGTGTTTTTCACTTGATGATTCCTTGGGAATTCGTACCATACTTGAATTATTAGTAGTCTTTTGTTAACATTGCAATAGCAGTAGTTATTACAGTGCTAACAGCAAGAACAATAGGAGAGGGATTCTACATCAGACCACAAAGGGACTAGATATAATTCAGGGGATGTATATGCTTAGCATAACAAATGCAAATTATTGAAAGTTACATCTGGGGTTGCCTCAGGCATTCATAACAATGCAAGTTTAAATCTTTTCCTTTTGTGGAAGTGACATCAAATATGAAGGGGAAATTAAGAGCAGGTTGAGAAGAAGCAGAAATAGAGTAAGCCATTAGCATGCTGTGTCTGTCCTCTGGAAAATGCATATGTAAAGTTCAGAGGTCACTGGGCAATGGAGGTTGAATGTTCCATGACACATGGTGTTGCTTTCTTCCTGGTTGCTGTTGTGTGGTGCTGGAGACAGCAACGTCCTTTGAGTGACCACCATAGCTGGTTCCATATGATAGAGAACTACCTGCACAATAACAAGAATCTGGACTGACTGTGTTTAGTGAAGCTGCATCTATTGCTTTTTGCTGTGATTTTCTTCGCAATAGCCTGGCATTTGGCAATTGAGCAAGCGAACATAAGTAGTGTCTAGCTTTTGGGGATTAACTCACAGGCTTTCTGATTTTGCTGAGTAAGAAACAATAATGTGAAAACCTTCACAGCTCAAACACATTGCATTGATTTCAAGTGAGGAATAAAGTATATTTATAGAGAATGGACATTTGATAAACTATGCATTTCCTGTAACCAGGTAAATACAGATTACTTCCAACTAGTCTTTTAAATTCAGTTTCATCATGCTATTTTTGGTAGCTATACTACTAAACTGCATTTAATTGGATTGCAGTTTCAGCATACTCAGTGATTAGCTAGTTGTGATTCTTCAGTTTGGATTTTATTTGAATAATTCTTCTATTCTTCAAAAAAGGAAGAGCACTGTCTGTGTCTTGAAAAGGCCATAAAAATGTTTTTTCTAGCTGTAACATCCAAGTGTACTTCTTGAGATTTCCAGTGTGAGCATTGCTTCTTACTAGGAAGCAGATTGAGGCACTTCTATCACTGTATTGAGCTGTGCAAGTGGATGTAATCTCAGATCTTTCACTAGATTGCTGAGCAAATATGCAAACTACTTTTTGTATGTGTGAAAACAAATGAAATGGTATAAACTCAAATATTTGATACTACTTTTAGTATGTATTTTCAAGTGAATAATAAACAAACAACTAAAGCATGGCTAAACATTGACATCCATCTTCTCCTGTATCAACCCCCTTAAGAAAACAAACTCAACAGTTTGGTTGTATTTGCTAAGATATGTTTGTTAGTGAACAGATATTGTGTGATACTGAGGATCTTCAGTGTGTTTTATGACTGATCCTCTGAAAGAAATAAAACACCATTTTCTTGCCTGTGACATTCGGTTTTGTCTTAACCCATTCAAAGAAAAAAATTATTTGTCCAGTTGATCATAATACAGTTTTGCCTTTCTTGAGAAATGTGTCTTGCTTGAGTAATCTAGTTAGTGACAGACACTTAGCAGAGATTCCATATGGCATAGTCACATTGTGTGATCCTCATAAAATACTCTAAAGAAGTGGTTTCCAGCAGGAGGCAATGCAGTACAGTGTCTCAGCAACCTATTAGCCACATCACACCTTGTGGACAGGAATGTTAATATCATTACAGGGTTGGCAGCTGAAGACTTGAGTAAGTCATTACAATTACTTTTCTTCTGGTTTAGACAAGAAAGGGGACCTTTTAATTGGTACAGCTTGAAGGAAGTGATTTTTTAGAGCTCATTAAGAGATTAGGAGATTGTGTGTTTGATATGTTTCCAGTCCTAACTAATTCTGTACATGTGGGAGTTTTTAAATTGGTAACAGTCAGTTCTATACAGAGTTTTAAATATTAAAGATATATATAATTTGCTGTTAAGGAATAGCAGTGGTTTCATGGCTGGCAAAGTATCACCTCTAGTACACTGATCTTGAAGCAATAGCATAACTGGCAAGCAAACCTGGTTTTACAGCTTTGAATAGTTTGACCACATCCTGCTGTGCAGGAACATGCTTATGACTGTTCATGTAAAAAATTGGCAGGCACCCAGTTGCTCATCTGAAGCAAGTTAAAGAATCCTTCTCCATTTTGAGGCGCTGTTTGGCAGCAGGCAGCACTTTATCATCATTGAAAACAATGACGAGATGCACTATGCTTGACTTCCCATCATTATCAGTTTCGACTAATGACTAATCACTGATAAATGTCTGCACTTACAGCTAGTCAGCTTCTTGCTAGCTTCTTTTTTGTTTTTGTTCTGCTAAAGCAGCTTTCCTCCTTTTACACCAAGTAAACAAGTGTGTTGCCTATGATTTACAGAGCATTAAAGCATTCTCAGCACAGGAGTGAACAGGTCTTACTGAGGTAGTAAACCCAAGAGCTGTATGAAACGTAAAAACAAGAAATAGAAATGAAAAAAATATTTACAGATCTTGGCCCCTTAATTGGGGAATACTAAGGTGACAAGTTACAGTGCCTCATGACTCTTGGGACAGAGGTGATATCTTTGCAAACCAAACCACAGTGTGGGATGATATTTTTTGTACTTTTAATTAGAAGTCTGGTTTTATACTCTGTGTTTTGGTACCCTTTGGCACTTCTTGACTGAGGATGCTAATCAAGTTCTTGGCTGGCAGGAGCATATCTGACAGTATCCTCTTATGTACTCTCTCAAGGTGTTTACCCTACTTTTCACTTTACCACTGATATTTGGGAACAGAAAAAGAAGAAGTAGGATTCTGTATTCACAGTTGTTTATAAGCCAGGCAGCTGCTGTTGGGTACTGATGATTTTGGTTATGAATTTACTTCAGGAGGAAAGTGCAAGTAAGGGGAATGTTTATTGTACTTTGAGGATCCAAGAACCATGCTTGTTCACTAATGGCTGGTTTCCTTTGGGAAGGCAACAGCAAGTTGAGTTCTCATTTGCATCCTTTTCTCTGAGAGGTAGCTGAAGAATGGGCATGGGGAAATTCCTTGCCAGCAGGATGGCTGGA